TAAATATGAGTATGAAAATGGTATGTGTCATATTGACCCTGTAACTGTCTTCCAAAGAAATTAAACCATACTCAGATTCCTGCTCAAATATAGAAGTCAGTCCTGAGCACAGCCACTGAAACAACTACTGTTCCCCCCTCATACAAACATTTGAGTTGTAAGAGTCTTCCCTCTGGTGTCTGCAGCGTGATCCGCCTGATAATGCAGTATCTCAAGGAGAACAACCTCTACCGAACCCTGACCACCTTACAGGAGGAAACCACCGTCTCCCTGAACACGGTGGAGAGCATCGACAGTTTCATCGCAGATATAAACAGCGGCCACTGGGACTCTGTCCTGCTGGCCATCGAGTCCCTGAAGCTGCCAGACAACACACTGATCGACCTCTATGAGCAGGTGAGCCTCGTGTTTTTATCAGCTAATGGTTTTTCTTGGCTGGATTTGTGTTCTTGAAATTGGCAGCATGTGACGAGCACTGATCCGTCCATCAGGTTGTGATGGAGCTGATTGAGATGAGGGAGGTGGGAGCAGCTCGCTCGCTCCTCAGACAAACCGACCCCATGATCATGTTGAAGCAGACTCAGCCGGAGAGATACGTCCACCTGGAGAACCTGCTGACGTGCTCCTACTTTGACCCTCGCGAGGTGAGACGACGAAGGTCTGTCACCTAAACAACTACATGTATTAACAAGCGCTTAACAAAGTCCTTTTCTTCTCCTCTTAACGCAGGCGTACCCGAAAGGGAGCAGCAAGGAGAAGCGACGCAGGGCGATAGCTGAGGCGCTGGCGAGGGAGGTGAGTGTGGTGCCTCCTTCTCGCCTCATGGGACTCCTGGAACAAGTTGGTGTGAGTATAATGATCAATATTCTTCTTATAAGTCCTTTTGCCACTTACATGACAACATTTTTTTGGTGTCTGAACAAACAGTGTAGTAAACCTTTAGGGGAAAGTTCTTGGTGATGAAGAAAATAACATGAAAAACGTATCAAACAGGGAAACTTCGTCAAAAATACATTCAAAGTAGAAGAAAAGTGAGAGAGATTCTGTTGCAGGACCACAGCACCATTGGTTGTCTACTCTCTGAGCTCCTGAGTAAAATAATTGCCAAAATAAAGTTGTTTTGAATTTGAATAGCCACAACGTCTCTATACTTTCTCTTGACTCTGTCATTCTGGTCCACAGTCGCTGAGACTACAGCAGTTTCCAGGTCATCTCTCCCCAGACAACACCATCAACACGTCCGGCGACAAGGACAGACATGTGGTGAAAGAGAGCTTCCCAACGCAGCTGTACCGGCACATCAAGGTAAACAGCACAGAGCCTGATGGACAGAGAACCACAGGTTCTCCTGTAACTCAACTAACTAAAACTGCAGCTGTAATCAGCAGATTTTAAGTAAATGAATGATTGATGATTTGTTTGCAGTTATTTTTAATGTCCCTGTTCATCAGCCTGACAACACACACACACACACACACACAAACACACACACACACACACACACACACACACACACACACACACACACCTAAACACACGCACACACACACACACACAACTAATTGCTTCACTCACCTGAAGGCACTTATCTCAGACTCCGGCTGTGCTTTCATCACTTGCA